AGTCGTTGTATTTCTTTTTCTACTGCCGGTTTCAAAGCATAGGGTACGTTTCTTGCTTTACAAAATACAGGTGTGGCGTTCTCTTCTAGCGTTAGCTTGCCTTTCTTGTTTTTCAGCAATCCCACCTTATCAGTAAATAACTGGGGAAATTTGCTTATTAAGACTTCCACCTGGCTTTGTGTAGTCGTCGTACATTTGTTGAAGTGAAATAAGTCTTTCTATGGTAGTCGTATTCCTTTTAACCATTCTCTTCCAAATAATGGGGGTCCACCATTATCTACGATGTACAACTTGCTCTTATACTGTTGACCATTGTATGTTATGTCAACATCTAGATGACTTTTTGCTTCCGTGTGGTTATATATACAAAATAGGTTTTAAATCCTTGTTTACATGGTGCAATTCTGATGTTGGGAAATATTTTTTCCAGTCCTTTGTTGACATTATTGATAGACCAGATCCAGTATCCACTTCCATTGGCACTTCTACGTTGTTAATTAATGGATTTATCCATATTGGTTTGTTATGTGTAGAAAGCTTGTTCACCTCTTCCAACCTTAATAATAGTACGTCATCACCTTCACTGTCAGATTCTACTACCGTGTGAATTTTTCTGGTAGCCTTTGGTTTTGAATCTTGTCTGGGTTTTGCTGTTGTGCTAGCCTTAGCAGCATTTTTGGCTCTGCATGCTACTTCTATGTGGCCTTTCTTACCACAAAATCTGCAATCGGTATTCAAGTGATAACATTTATCAGGAAAATGTCCTGTCCTGTTGCATCTGTAACCCTGGTTTTGTATTTTGGCGGTAGGTTTTTTACCACCTGGCTGTTTCCTTGTCGGCCTAACATAGTGTGCCGTTATTTGCTTGTGTTTTAACTCTTCGGCATCTTTACTCGCTGTCTCCATGGCAATAGCTATTTTAATTGCTTTTTGTAGAGTTAGGTCCGCCTCAGCCAACAATTTCTTTTGAATGGCTGTCGTGGTGATGCCACACACCAATCTGTCTCTTAAACTGTCCTCTAAATTATTTCCGAATTTGCAATATTTTGCTAATTTTCTTAATTCGGCCAAATATTCCTGGATATTTTCGGATTGCTTTTGATCCCGTTTATGAAACCTATACCTTTCTGCAATAACTAGTGGCTTAGGATTAAAGTGTTCGTCTAACATCTTCGTTAATTCATCATATGCTTTCGTTTTCGGCAGTGCCGGTGAGCATAGATCTTTGAGTAGTGCATATGCCTTAGGCCCTATCACCGTCAGCAATGTAGCTACTTTCCTATTGTCGTGTACCGAATTTGCCTCTAGGTACGCCTCTAGCCGTTCCGCATACGCCGGCCAATCTTCTGTTTCATTGTCGAACGTATTTATTCGGCCTATCTGCGGCATGTTTCCAATAGTTATCTACGAATACTCACAGAAACTTCCTGTATTTCTGTTTTCCATAGTTTTATCCTCGTCGCCAGATTTGTAATGTTTTATGACTGTTTATGACACAACACGACGGACTGACAGGAGACGATTGCCATTTTCTCAGTTCAGTATTTATTGTTAAACATAGGTGGCAGCAAGCATTGTTTATTGGAGATGAATACATTACAATATATGAGTCCACATATACACCAGAACATAATGTCATTGTCAAAATATTGAATTCCAACATGATGGAGTGCATTACAATTCAAAGCTGTTTTCTGTTTCTCAAGCATAAAATACTACACAATTTAATGGAAGTGGATATATTTACGTAAACAAATCAACGATATATTTACGTAAATGAAACAACGCATGCACAGTCATACTTTAACAAACTTGCATTTTCAGCACTCGATATTAGCGTGGCCTCCCATGGCCGCGGTGATTCCCCCAAGTTCAGCATGGCACTTTAAATTAATTTATAATTTTGTTTTTTATTTTTTATTAAAAATAATTTAATTTTCTACAACAGCACAGTATGTAGTTTAATCATTAAATAAATTATTAAATCATTGTGTTAAATTTTCAAATAAAAGTGATACTGTATTATGAGCTGGAAATTTCATCTTACTCTTATCATTTGTTAAATGAACACACTTGACCTAAATACAAGGCCTAGGCCTATACAAGGTTTCCTTGCTAAAACTTAATTACCAGGAATCAAGACGATATTCTTCTAGGCCTACCAGTATTAATTATGGATATGATAGTCAATCATCACAAATTAAATAACACCCTAATATTTTTATTCAAACAAATTAACCACGTCGTCACTAACAAAAACAACATTGTTATATAGTCTTCAGACGGGTCGAGCATCGAGCACCAATCGATCACGAAGAACATACAGGAAGAGCATGTTTGGTGAGCACATGATTCACTCTACAAAGTACTGTACTGTACGCTATGTGAAGCAAGAAGTAAACAACGCATAATCGTGTATTTTCTGTAAGATATTGAATCACTACGAAAAAAGTGAAACCAGGGAGATGTAAAACATACATAAAATACTTCTCCCTGGTAAGACAAAACAAATATTTTTACTGTTTTATTCAAACATATTTTTCCAAGTAGTAACCTATATGCCACCCATCTGGCATATATGTTCCATGTGGGCCCCAAATGGGTTATATCTGGGCTATGTGGGCTAAATCATATAGGTCCCACATGGAACTTGGGTGCAGAATCCGGAGGTTTCCTCAAGGATTGCACATATGGTACCCATATAGATCTGCATATGGGCACCATATGAGTCCCTTATGGGCTTGTTACCTGGGACCATATTGTAAAATGTTTACAAAACACTTACGACAGTGTGGGGTTCCCAAATCCCACGTGCTGTGTTGTTAAAACAAATACTGTACATCTACGACAAATATTTTATATATTGTACAAATCAAAGATCTTATAAACACAAGATAGCGTTCTCCGCGATTTACGCGTGCAAATTCTGTAATAAGGCATGAATGGCGCCCTCTTGCTAAATTGGAAACTTTTGACCCTTGACCGCTCTGACTATGCCGTACGCCATTTTTTTCCGTACGAAACATTTGCATGAAACTTCACTCGGGCCATCTCGGATTGACTCGAGTGAGTAGATTACGAGGAACAAGAGCAGACACTTCGCAATGTCGTGACGCTCGAGTTTTACTATTATTGCTCTTTCTATGTTTACCTACGGTAGGCCTATGAAATCTCACGGACTTATGGGATGTACGTGTGTAACTAACTGTGACCTTCTTATCTTGGATGTTATTTAATGTTGGTATATTATCTACAATAACTACCTCCTCTTATAAAGTGTAGATAGGTACAGTAATACCAAAGGCTAGAGAGAAAGGCCCCTCCTTAAACTAGGCCTATAGTCATAGACTGACACCAACATACTGACATTGACTGAAATTTTGTAAAAAAAAAAAACTGACATTGACTAAAATTTTGTAAAAAAAAAAAGGACAAAATTGAAGCATGAAATGAAAAATAGAGCGCATAAGAGAAATATTATTAAATCAATAATATACCATTCCGGCGTTATTGAACTTGTCCAAACTATCATTTTAATGTAATTAATGTTAAATAATAATAATAATCATTTCAGCATTAATTACCTTGGCCTAAGCCTTGTAATGAAGAACCTACAGATACCGTACTATTTACTAGGCCTATAAAATAATAATCGCTCAAGGGGAACATCTTTTGTGTTACTTCCCCTTAACGTTTTTTTAATTGTTCTCTAATTCCTCCATTGTCTAAGTTTCCCTTAAGGTACATGTAATAATAATAATTAATAATAATAATTTAATAATAATAATAATAATAATAATAATAATTTCAGCATTAATTACCTTGGCCTAAGGCTTGTAATGAAGAACCTACAGATACTAATTACTAGGCCTATAAATAATAACTAGCCCAAGGAGAATATCTTTTGTGTTATTTCCCCTTAACGTCGTTTTTTTAATTGTCCATATTAATAACTAGCTCATTTTTACATTCATTTGGTGCTCTGCCATTTTGGCAGGTCTTATGGCATCCAGTATTTTAGAGCTGCCTATTCTCAGCTCTTATAACTGTTACCCTGTTTCATCTGATGAAGAAAAACGCGCTTTTCCCAGAAAGCGTTTTTAGTATTAGTAGACCTTAGTAGAAGTGGTTGGCGCATCGGTTGTGGTTTGGACTCCCAACCTCGAGGTCGGAGGTTCAAAACTCTCGCTGTGCAAGTCGCTTGTGTCCTTGGGCAAGGCACTTTATCTACGGTTGTCTCTCTCCACCCAGGAGTAAAAGTGGGTACCTGGTAGGTTCAAACACAGCCTGCGCTGAATACACTGCAACATTATGGAATTCCCCTATGGGGCCTGAGTGTGTGTTCCATATGTGCTTGATCCAGTGATCCGGGGTAATAATGTTCAGCGCATAGAGAAGTTTGATATGCGCTATATAAGTATACAATATAATAATAATAATAATAGACCTAGGTAATTATGCAAAACCCAGGCCTAACTAAAAAATTAAAATTGTCATAGTATGTTACTCAAGTTAAAATAACACTTTTCATTACTCGTGCAGCTTAATCATTATTATATGTCATTTTAAACGACCCATTGGTATTAACATAGTGACATCAATGTATTTTTAAAATTAGATAGCGACGTTCTCTCAGAAGTTGTTTTGTAGACGTTTATCTGTTGATGACCTTTTGACCTCCTGAATTCTGCAATGAGATTTTCGGGTCGATTCAGCCGAGACGGCCTGAGTGGAGTTTCATGTAAATGTTTTGTACGGAAAAAAATCGCATACCGCACACCGCGGTATCAATCCTGTGAACAACAGAACGGGAACCATCTCAGATCCATGGCAACAGATAGGACGCCCTCTTCCAAAACTGATTACTTTTTCTCTTTGGTATAATAGCGCATGAATGGCGCCCTCTTGCTAAATTGGAAACTTTTGAACCGTGACCGACGTTTCTATTTGTTACGCGTAAATCGCGGAGAACGCTATCTTGTGTTTATAAGATTTTTGGTACAAATCACCTGTCAGACAGCAGGGAGGTGATAATACACAAACGTCAAACCACGTACATGGTAAGTCGATGAGTACACTAGAATGTATTATAGTGATTATAATCTGTGATTTTCATATGTCTGTGAATTATTGAAAAATTACTTTAACTAATTGAAAGTTATATCGTATATTTTACTTACATATTGAATCCTATATGAAAGTACACAAAAAAAATCCTGTGAATAAAATCACGTCGTATAAGAAATTACGCAGAAAAAAATCATAAATCCCATGATTAGTTTATACAAGTAACACCATCAGTATAGGCCTATACCGATATCTATTTTAAGGACCCTGAAAAAATTTTCATTTTATCGCTCAAACGTTATCAAAATATAAATTTGAAGAAAATATTGTTATTTGATTCTATTGTTGTTGTAGTGATACGATTTAAAAAAAGGGATTTATACATCTGTTTGTTTTCACTACGTTGACAAATCGTGTCTGAGCTATTAAAATTAATATACTCATAGTGGATGAGTGTCGTCTAAGAATAACTTGTTCCGTATTTTAAGTACAGTCCTCACAAAGATCAGTGCTCTCAACATCTTTAACAATGATTTTCCTTACTTCTTTAGTTATTTTCGTTATTTTATCATTAGTTTGTTAGGCTTACAATAAAAAGCAAGAAGATAAAACTGATTTTTGATGACACTCTGGTCAAAAAGAAATAGAGTATCTTGACCAACATTAATTTTGTTTTAAAGCTTCCAAGAAAAAAGTAGTTGGCACACTTAGAAAGTGGCCCCGTCTCCTTAATAGAGGTGTCCCCTTAAGGGGTTGGTCGTAGTGTTAAAATATATTATTTCCCCTCGCTTCACGGAAATGTCCCCCTTAAAGGGTGTCCTAGGATAGGGGTGTCCGAGAGGAGGGGTTCTATTGTATTTTTTTACGTTGGCCTACAAATATTTTATTATTAGGACCTTCGTACGTCCGATATAATTACCACATACCGTATATAATGCGCGGGGCGTTAATTAACATGGTCTTAATCTCAACAAAGTAGGCCTACCGGTAGGCCTATCAAATCTAAGCTCTAAGTTATCAACTTATTTCCATTAAGTCACATTCCAAAATTTGCAGACATAACTACGATATTCTTTATATTGCCTGCACGTTAGTGTTAGGTGTTATACAAAAAGGTGAAAACGCGCTAAAATATTCACTTGTTATTATTGAGAATATATTTTCCTGGTGTCTAAATATTTTGTTTAAATATATCTCATTTATTAAAATATTACTAGAATAAATTTGATAAAATATCTTTAAAACATTTTTTTAATTACACATAAATGTTTAACTGTCTTTAAAACATGTATTGAATTATTTACATCTCTTACTAATTGCTATAGGATATTTTTTAATTGGCCAGGCGCGGATCCAGAGTTCATCCTGACTGTCGCACAGGTGGGGTCCCAGGGGCGGATTCAGAGCTACATACTTACAATGGTGACAAGTAGTGGCTGTTTTGTCAAATAGTAAAGAAATGTTGGATGAATATATCCTGGTTGAAATTGGGCAAAATATGCACAATCTAAAAAGTCGAGCGAAACAATATTGTTTAACTAAAAACTATTAGGAATTCGTGATGGTGTTATCATATACATGGCGATTCAAAACAAATTAAATCAATACAGAATATGTTTGATCAACGAATTGCGTTCATTTAAAAATCTGCTTAACTTAGTGGAGAAAAAAATACAAATACAACGAATGCTTTGCCATGCAGTGAAGAAACGTTGGTTTAGAATAATGGATATTTCAGTTCAGTATATCAGCATATCAATATGATTATTATTCAATATCGATTTTAAAGAAACTCTAATAAAATCACGTTGCGTTGAAGTCTTTTTACAATGACGGAATTTATGATCTAACAAAAACAAATAAGTAAATATGCTAGCACCCACGACGAAAACCATGAGATGTTTTAGCATTTAAGGATACTATTTTTTATAAGCCTATATAGGGGCCTACACATTATAACCGGTCAGGAGATTTTTATTCTGACACACATACCGTAATGTCGGTATCACAGGAAAATATATCAAACACCTGAAAATCCAGCTTCCTAAGGACACGATTATTTACTAAAAGATGATATGTTATTATAACGTCTAAAATAACCATGGACGCTTTTCCCAAATAACACTTTAGAACTTTAAAAAATGGTTTTTGGAATGTGTAATGTATTTTTTTTTTTACATATAAACCTATCCGGCATCTGGTTGAAAAATAGGGCAAATTGCTATAGCATTCTTTCGCAAAAGAATGTTATCTCACTCGGGATTTCAGGACTTTTAACAAAGGAAAAAGCTATGCAAAAGCTATGTTCACTTTTTAAAACAAGTGACTGAATAATGGACATTTTCAGTTCAGTATTAGGATAGGCTTATCAATGATTATTGTTCAATACCGATTCTAAAAGATAATCCAAACACAACAAAACATGTCATGTTTTATTGAAGTTAGTGATGTAACACCTACAACTAAAACTCTGCTAATAGTTTACATACCGTACTTTATTATAACCGGTCAGGAGCATTTTATTCTAAAAAGCAATGCCGGTATTACTGGAGAAGGGGATTTGAATGTGTGCACCGGCATATCCGGCTTAGTAAGAATATTGCTATTTACTGTAAAAATGTGAACGTTTCATAAAAGATAATATAGTATTACTCTATTTCTAAAATAATTATAAAATAACCGATTTATCTCAGTAACGTACGCTTATTGCTCAGACCCAGCTGGTCATAGTTTGCTGTCGTTTAATTACAGTTCCTTTAAAATAAACATCGTTATTCATTAAGTTGCAGTCATTTTTATTTTATTTATTTTTTTTTCTCACCTCTCACCCTGACCTTCGCCATGGCTGCATTCATGCCTAATTGACTGGTAGCAAATGGAAGAATTATGCAATGGAAGAATTCCACAAAATATTATTTATCTTTGTACCATGATTAACTAATTTTATATACCTGTCTCTTATACACATCTAGATGTGTATAAGAGACAGGGGTCATTGCGGATGAATTTAACGATTTTCAAGATAATGATGAGAAGGAACTTCGTTATTCTACACTTGGACACATAACATCAAAAAGAAATCCTAGACTAACTAGTTTTATGATGGGCAAAAGAGATCCACGGTTTTCTGATTTTATGATGGGCAAACGGGATCCACGTTTTTCTGATTTTATGATGGGCAAACGAGATCCACGTTTTTCTGATTTCATAATGGGCAAACGGGATCCCCGCTTTTCTGATTTTATGATGGGCAAACGGGATCCACGCTTTTCTGATTTTATGATGGGCAAACGGGATTCACGCTTGAGTGATTTTATGCTTGGTAAAAGAGATCCGCGCTTCAGTGATTTCATCATGGGCAAACGAGATCCACGCTTGAGTGAATTTATGTTGGGCAAACGGGACGCACGTATAACTGACTTTATGTTAGGCAAACGAGATGCGCGTTTAAGTGATTTTATGATGGGCAGGCGAGAATTAGGGTTTGATGAAGATGAGAATGGAAGGCAAACTGGACACAATTATTTTCAGAACGAAGTAGACCACCAGTCTGATCGTTATGTTCTGCATGGTGGAGATCTAGAGACGATAGAAGGAAGCAGAGGTAATGTGGTTTATGATGACACTGATATTCCTAATCAAGCTGAAGCTGCAGAGTTCCAAGAACTTGAATCTAGTTCAAGTCTAAAGCGTGGTAGCGGCAAAGGCAAGCTCCATCGTCCACAGTTTACAGGAACAGGTAAAACGCCCTCTCAGCTTTGGAGTAACCTGGGGTCTGGAAAAAGATCATCCTCGGTAGATTATGAAGATGAAGACGAGAATGTAATAACTGAAATCAAACGTTCTGCAGACCCAAATCCGAAGACATCAGTGCGAAGGTTCCCCCCTGCAGCTCTTCATAAAGGGTTGTATTTCGGCAAAAGAGCAGCAAACTGGGCAGATATCTAACAGCAAAATTCCAATGAATTTTTATTCCCAGCCAGTTGTTTTACATCGTTTTCTCAATTAGACGACAAACGTGCCTTGCTAGCATAATTCTAGATCACTAAAAATTGGGCTAAAATAACACCAGCGCCTAAGCCAAGATTAGGGCTACAGATGCTTTAATGATTATAAACCAGAATTTTAGTAGATAAGAATTTAACTTTTTGAATTAGGCCTATCTGTAATACATCTTTAAAGTTATGATTGCCTCCACTGTTATTATACCACCAACTGGCAAATAACTTAAATTCAATATAATATTTATTTAGCAAATTAAAACCTATAGGCCTATCGTAATTAATTTCATCATAATTAATTTTGAGTAATGCACAGTTTTTTTTAAGAACAAATATTATCTATTAATATCGTTATTTATTATAGTTCCAGTTGTTCAGAGGTCTGCAGTACAATATTTTCCTCGATTATCAGAAACTGGATTAGATAAACATAAGCCTGAGGGTAAAACTGAATATGTTTGCTACAATATGAATATAAGTGTCAGAAAAGAACAGAATAAATACCAATAACGGATACTAATCTAAAAAAAACGGAGAACAAATTTACTCTCTGTCATTGGAGAAAGCTAAATTTCATTGAGATGTGTAAAGTTGAATTGTAGTTTGCAGTCTGGATTTAGCGTCTGTTCCGTCCAGAGAAAAACTTCAATAGGCATAATTCTTGAATAATTCATCTTAAAATTATGCCATAATAATCATGTAAAATAATAAAA